CATAGTGCCGGAATGTGTCTATTTGGTATCGCATACAAAAACCGTTGTCCCTATGACGTAATTTTTAACAAAATTAGCAGTTCTCGTAACTAATATATCTAGCTATGTAGACCTGATTTCATTTGAGGGCTGCTAAATATCTTCCATGTGCCAATAATTGTACAAGCGTTTTTCTATGTTCACTAGATGGTGGCAGGCATTTTTGTGATTACAAAATAAAATAGGATATTGGATCTTACGCCTTTAGCACGAGCAGCAGTAGCAGTAGTATCGTAAATTCTTTTTAGGTGTCCAAATTCTTAAAATTTCCAATGTGGAATTCAACACTAGAAATATGTTCGGGTGTGGAGTTTGTGTGTTCTCAGAAGGTCCTTCTTCAAGGTCATGACAGATGAATTGAAAACATTTTCTTGTTTTATATAATTCCTTTTTATTTTGCAGTCACCTAGATTTTTAAATTTAGTGAATGAATTTTAGGATAAATAACCGCAGGCGGGCAGAAAGTAATTTGTTCCGATTCTGATGGTTTTTGAAAATGACCATCATTAAGAAACATTTTTTTAAATCTTATTGTTGGCTCTTTATTAATTATAGAAGTTTTCCTTCCACTTATAGATCCCTTTGTAAGCATTTCTCTAATATATAATAATCTTTTTGTTATAGGTAATCTAATACTTAATAATAATAATAGTATAAAATTTTAATGTCCAATGGTTGTTTCGATCAGAAAAAATTTGAAACAATTAACGAGAAAATAGGTTTGAGAAAGAACAACAAGATCAGTTTTTGGCCAATTTTTGTCAATTCGGTTTTTTGGTGGTTTCTGTTAAATTCAGAATATGATTATTGAGGTTCTGTTATTTATTTCCGTATTGAAGTTACTATACTTGAATTTATACGTATGATAATCTTTTAATGGATGATTACCATAAACGATTTCAGTTAAAATAATCGTTGGACATTTTAATTCTATATTATTCATTTAATTAGTTTATAAGGATTTTCTTCTTATGATTTTTGAAGGAAAATTAGATTAATGGAACCAAACACACATAATTTCTTATATTAACGTAACTTTTTATCAATTTCTACAAATTTACTATCATTTTGTAAACATTTTTCTTTGATATATTTGTAGTACCGATTATTTACAATTTCTCAAAGGTGTTCCAATTAACTACTTTAATTTTTCTTCAATTTTGCCTTTCCTTTTTCGTCTGTGGTAATTAACTTCTTTTATAGTTTATAAAAATTACTTAATTTTGTGTTTAGGGGTATTTCAATTTACAAAATTAACTTTAATTGATTTTAAAGAATGTTTACTTCTTTTTATTTATCGCAACACTACAATTTATAAAATTTTCACAAACAGTATTAAACTTCAGTATATTTTGTAATTTTAACGTAGTATTATTTCTGCGAACTTTTTCTGGTTTTGCATTGTAAGGCTTGGTACATTTATTGAACATTTGTTTTCATTTAAAAAGTCTTAATACGTAAAAACAATACTACGTTACAATTACAAAATATTAGATGCAAGTTTAATTCTGTTTGAGAAAATTATAATCACTGCAATCTATAAACTACAATTAATATTGAATCTAAATTTGCAAAAGTTGTCTTTATAAAGAACTGGTGAATTTACATTTAAATAAGAAAACATTAAGTTGGATTTTAATAATTGTAGTGTTCTGATAAATAAAATGAAGTAAATATTGTAAACTATGACCAATTTTCTAAAATTGAAGTGGTAAAAGGACTAATGAAATAAACAAAATCATTTAAAATTAATTTCATAAATTGAAATACCCCTAAAAACAAAATGAGATAAAAATTTAAACTATAAACACTATATAAAAGAAATAAATTACCACAAGCGGAAAAGGAAGGGCAAAATTGAAGAGAAATTAAACTAAAATAAGAAAATGAATCGTTATTATAAATATATTAAAGAAAACTATTTACAAATTGCCTTAAAATTATAATAAAACTGCTGAAATTGATAAAAAGTTACGTAAAAATAATAAATTGTGCGTTTGGTTTAATTAATTTAATTATCTTTGTTGATGTGAAATAATGAGTGCAGATTAAATTGATAAAACTTAATTCTTTTGTTACAGATCAGGACGATGGTCAAATGGAGTTGCTTCACCTGGACGTCCTTCCTCATCCACGAGAGCTTCGATCGTCAGCGTTGCGTCGTTCGCGGGCGTGTTCGGGAGTGTACTGGAGCTTCCAGATTCGGACTTGGAAGCTTCCAATACCCGGAATCTCAAAGTTTCCGAGATCCCGGGCCTTGGAAACTTCGGAATTCGAATCTTGGGGCCTCCATAGCAATGAATCCCGAAACCCTCGGGATTCTTTGCTTTGGAGACCTCAATATTCGTATTTCCGAGTTTCTAAGGGACTTCGGTATCTCGGAAACTTTGAAATTTCGTGTGTTGGGGGACTCCTAGTTCGAATCTGGGAGCTTCCAGCGTCCGGGCCTTGTCCCGGACGGTCTTCGAATTAACAAAATATTCCGCGCTAAACCTGGTAGGCGTGAAAAATTTATTTTGTAATTTTTAAATAAAACACAGTGTAAGAATTTACGTTCTTTTATTGGTGCATTCCCCCCTGCCCCGTGTAGTCCCCCTTGTCATGGGGGACCCCCTGCCCCGTGTATCTCCCCCTTGCGATGGGGGAGATACACCCCCTTGTCCCGTGTATCTCCCCTTTGTGATGGTGGAGATACCCCCGTCCATACACATTCACGCCCCATTCTCTCACTCATTCACACCCCCGTATATCCCCCTACTCTAATGGAGGAGAATGAGAATACATGAGGGTAAACAGGAAGGGTTACCCTCATGCATTCTTATTCTCCTCCATTCTCTCTCACATACTCATCTATCCACCGCCCCTACACGTTCACGCCTCATCTTCTCACGCATTCACACCCTCTCATACTTCCTCACTCGCAATAGAGAAGAATAAGAACACATGAGGGTGAACGTGAATGACCGGTTACCCTCATGCATTCTTATTCGTCCCTATTACCTCTCATACAATACCCCATTCGTAATAGAGAAGGATAAGAACACATGAGGGTGAACGTGAATGACCGGTTACCTTCATGCATTCTTATTCTTCCCTATCACCTCATTCTCTGTCACACACCCATTCATTTACCACCCCTACACGTTCACGCTTCATCCTCTCACGCACTCACAGCCACTAATACTCTGTCCCACTAGTAATGGAGGAGAATAAGAACACATGAGGGTGAATAGGAACTATCAGTTACCCTCATGCATCCATACTCTTCCCCATCACGTCATTCTTTCACACACACATCCATTCACCGTCCTATACTTTCACGCTTCATTCTCTCCCGCATTCACACCCTCTAATACTCTCCTCTACTCGTAATGGGAGAGAATAAGGATACATGAGGGTAAACAGGAACGATCGATTACTCTTACACACATACACACTCATCCATTCACAGCCCCTACACGTTCATGTCCCATTCTCTTACACATTCATACCCCTAATCCTTCGCTCGACTCGTAATGAAGGACAATAAAAGTATATGAGGGTTAACAGGAACCACTTGTTTGATTAGCGTCATGTATTCTTATTCTCCTTCATTTCCTTACTCTCCCACATATACATATATTATCCCATTTCATACTCACTGCTACTCTTTTTTCTACAAACATATCACCCTCCTTCCCCCTTATTACACACCTACTCTTTTATACATATTCATACAAGCCGTCATTAATTCTTTCATTTCATTCTCATCACCACTTTTATTACAACCCTGCCCTCTTACACATTCAAACACACATACATTCCATCATTTCATACTCACGACCACCCCTATCACACTTCCACTGCCTGTCTTACATCAATTCTACCATTTTATTTTCACCACTCCTTACTTTCTCACATATTCACACCCTTTGCTTTCATTCTCATTTTTACCCCTAACCGTAATGGGAGATGATGAGAATACATGGGAATAAACATGTGTGACAGTTTATCCTTACGTATCCTGATCTTCCCCTATTACCTCTCGTTCTTTCTCTCATTAATTTTCACTCCTAGTATTATTTTCCCTTTGACAATTTCACTCCACACTCTCTCACAAATTCTCGTTCTGGTTTCCCCTCCTTTCGTTATCATTTACACAACTTTCTTGCTCTCATTTTCACCCCACAATAAATCAGTTTTTTTTTATTGTTACATGAACATTTGCAATAAAAATATGTAAAAAGTTACAAAAAGATATGCGACATATGATAGAATAAATACTCAACTTATATAAATAAAGTATTACAATACTTACTATCACCTGAATAAAATATGAAATTACGATAAATACAATCTAATATAAATAAGTAAATTAATCCTTAATATATTATTTACACTATTAATGTCCAATGGTTG